GCTATTAACAGGGATATTTCACTGCCACAAAAAAACAGTGTTCCATCTTACAGTTAGAGGGGAGTATTGATGTTTACACAGTTTGATAACCCCTTCAAGGACATATTCATATAGCCTGGCAAGGACAAGGGGTGTAAATCTTTAAAATAGTCTAGATACTTAGGCTCTTGCATCAGACTTCATTTCTGAAAAGTGATACAGATAGCTGACCCTATCCAAAAAGCTGTTTATATAGCCTACAAAAATAGTTCAGCTTTCAAGCATTAAACTATAAACATAAATACTTACCACTAATGTTTCTTGAAGAATATATGCTATGATTTTTTCCTCTAATTTAGATCCCTCTTTCCTTAATGCCCTTGATAAGTCTGTGACAGACCCACCACCACATAACTGAAAACAAGCAAAGCTATTTTGTACCGACCTGAGTTGATGATGATGATGATGATATAATACAGTGAGCAATAAAAGAATTATCTATCTGGTCAGAAATATTTTGTTTTCTATTGCATTTCAAAGACCTTTACTCCCAAATACTGAAATTAGATAAACTCAAGAAGATATTATTCTAATTCAGTTGTCTAAATTTGCTTTGCCAGCTATTCAAAACAATTTACTAGTTATTCAGAACAATTTAACATCTACCTAGCGCAATTTACCAGCTATCTAGAACAATTTACCAGCTATTCATAACAATTTGCAAGCTATTCAAAACAATTTGCCAGCTATTCATAACAATTTACCAGCTATTCATAACAATTTATCTGCTATTCATAACAATATACCAGCTATTCATAACAATTTACCAGCTATTCATAACAATTTATCAGCTATTCAGAACAATTTACCAGCTATTCAGGACAATTTATCAAATATTCAGAACAATTTACCAGCTATTCGTAACAATTTATCAGCTAATCATAACAATATACCATCTATTCATAACAATTTATCAGCTATTCATAACAATATACCAGCTATTCATAACAATTTACCAGCTATTCAGGATAATTCACCAATTCAGAACAATTTACCAACTATTCAGAACAATTTGCCAGCTATTCAGAATAATTTGCCAGCTATTCAGAACAATTTACCAGCTATTCATAACATTATACCAGCTATTCATAACATTATACCAGCTATTCATAACAATTTATCAGCTATTCATAACAATTTACCAGCTATTCATAACAATTTATCAGCTATTCATGACAATTTACCAGCTATTCAGGACAATTTACCAGCTATTCAGAACATTTTATTTACCAGCTACCTAGCACAATTTACCAGCTATTCAGAACAATTTACCAGCTATTCAGGACAATTTACCTGCTATTCAGAACAATTTACCGGCTATTCAGAACAATTTACCAGTTACCTAGCAGAATTTACCGGCTATTCAGAACAATTTACCAGCTATTCAGGATAATTCACCAATTCAGAACAATTTACCAACTATTCAGAACAATTTACCAGCTATTCAGAACATTTTACCCGCTATTCAGAACAA